TAGTCTACTTTTCATAAGGTTCCTTCAAGATTAGATGGCTCAGTGGTTAAGGACACTTGCCACCACGCCTGACCACCTGAATTCGATTCCCTGAAGCCACATGATGGAAGGACAGGACCCAGGGGCATCTTAACAAACCAGGCTTAGGTCGGACTGGTCACATTTCAGGTGTTCATTCAGTTCATGTAACTGCCACTTAGGGCGGAGGTGAGCAGAATAAAAAATATGAAAATGGGCGGGAGGGAGGTGGCAGGAGAGGGCTTCTGAGGTACCAGGCCTTGGCCCTTGGGAAGTGGCCTTCACTGTCAGTTTTACTGTACCTTTTTGTTGTAGAACTCCGAAGAGCTACTGCGGAGGGCCAGCATGGCTGTGTAGCGCAGCGTCTCGCGCACGGTGAGACTGCTCAGAAAGACGTCACTCTGCAGGAAAGGGAACACCAGAGTCGTCGGAGCCCCGGAGGTGGGGGCGAGGGGTGGGGCGGGCCGGGGTCGCACCCACCTGCAGGACGTAAGAGAAGCAGTCTTGGAACTGGTCCCTGCGCAACCCGCGGCCATTCACAAACACCTCCCCTTCCAGGGTCCCCGTGCGCCGCAGCCTCCCAGAGATGGCGTCCAGCAGGGTAGTTTTCCCCGAGCCTGAGGGCAACAAAAGAAAGCCCTGGAGGAGCCTCCGTATGAGAATGGGGATACTTCTCCAGATCCTTTATGCCTCTCAATGGAACTCTGGCTGCGCCTCTCCATGGCGCCCTGGGTAAAGCCCCTGAGTGAAGGGGGGCAAGCCTAGCAACAGAGGCCAAACACTACGTGCAAGTGTCTTCTGGATCTGGCAACAAGAAAGTAGTTCTCTTGTCCTTTACTGGAACTCGTGTCTGAAGGTGTTTTGTATTTGTTCTTTATACAAGATGGCTCAGTCAGTAAAGGGATTTGCAGCCAAGCCCAAAGACCTGAGTTCAGTCCCAGAGGTACATAGTGGAAGCAGAGACCAAATTACCAAAAGTTGTCCTTTGGCTTCCACATGCATGACATGGCAAGCATTTGCCTGTACATGTACACACATACATAAATAAATGTGGAGAAAACATTTTGGAGTAAGAAAATACAGGTTCAAAATAATATTAACAAGCCCGCCAGTAGTGGTACACGCCTTTAATCACAGCATTCAGAAAGCAGAGGCAGGCGTTTCTCTGTGAGACTGAGGCCAGGCTGGTCTACAGAGTGTGAACTCCAGGACAGAGAAACCCTGTCTCAAAAAAACAAAAACAAAAAAAGGAGGAGGAGAAAGAAAGAGAGAGAGAGAGAGAGAGAGAGAGAGAGAGAGAGAGAGAGAGAGAGAAGAAAAAAAGAGAAAGGTTCAGAATAGGAAAGACGGGGTACTTAAATTAGCTCCTGGTGCCTAGCTTTCTTTTTGTGGTCCCTTAGGACCTGATTCTGACATTGCCAGAACCTTCTGACCTTTGGTCTGAGACCCCAAAATGTAGCCCCTCAAAACAAATGAATGTGACTCTGCTTTTCAACAAGCTCCCGCGAGTATTGAGCGGCTGAGGGGCACTGAAGGCCTTTGGGGAAAACAAATTGACCTCAGCCTGCGCCAAGAGCCTTGGCCATAGCTAGCCAGTTGCTACCAAGAACATCTCTGCAGAGTTCTAGCCTGGTACCTGAGGTGACAGAGGAGCTCACACAGACACAAGATCTATTCAGGAGCTTTGTGGAAGCCACTTTTTATCATGAGGGGTCCAAAGATAAGCTCCTGTGGTCACCATCTGTCCTAACCATGTCTGACCAAAGCAGGACTGCATGCGTGCCCAGGCAGAGTGGGGTAGAAAGGAGAACACCACATCCTTTAAGAGGAACGTCGTTTTCAGATGTCATGGCTCTAACGTAAGCCCTACAAATGTTGACAATGTGTTGTTTACTACACTTCAGTGTGGGCGAGACACACTCCGTTGCCTTTCTGCCCACGCATATTGTGAGGTCTGTTTGCAATTGTTTTTCCGTGGCACTGAAAGAACAGTCCGCATGGAGAAACCTATGGGTTGTCGCCTCCCCACCCGTATTTATGGATGTTAGCTCAACGGCTTCGCTAGTTACAAGGTCTTATTATCACAGTGAGGGTAAACTGTCAGAAACTAAAGGGTAGGAATAAAACCATTTTCTTGTATTAAAAGAAAGAAAATGAATCCTGGGCTAGGGAAACGGCTCAGTTGTAGAACACTTGGTCCAACCTCCTGTAGCGTGCACACACACACACACACACACACACACACACACACACGAAAAGGGGAGGCGGAGGAAGTGGAGAAGAAAGAGAAGAAGGAGGAGGAGTGACCCCCATGAGTTGTTGGAATTATGCCCTGACTCCCCAAACACGATCCCTGCCTTCCTGTGTTGTTTCTCTAACCAGAGCATTGAAGGCCTCTTATGTGGTTCCTGCAGCAGTGTTTGCTACTGCTGTCTGTCCTTTCTTTCTGTCTGTCCCTGCAGCTGTTCACAGCCACTAGCAAGGCTGCTGCTTCTCAGCTTCACACGGAGATCCTCGGGGTTCTCCCCCAACTCTCTCCTCCCTCCAGCTCTCATTAACCGTTAAGTAGTGACTTACAACGTAGCATAGCAGGATGTCGCTCTGGAGACAGAGTCAGTCTCTCTCACACACGAGCCTCCAGGTGGCTGAAATAGCATTAGAAAGTGTACTGGAAGCAGACCGGGGTCAGCGTGCTTAGAGACGAGGTTGAGGGGCAGGGAGATGGGTCGGTTGGAAAACTGCTCACTGTAACATGGTGAAGCGTGCTTGTAATCCAGTCTCGATGCATCAGTAAGCCCCAGGTAAAAGTGAGAGAGAGACCGTTTCTCAGAAAACAATACTGGAAGCCAGGCATGGGAAGCACATAACTTTTAAGTCCCCCGCTCGGGAGACAGAGGCTGGCAGATCTCTGTGGATTTGAGAGCAGCCTGGTCTACAAAGCAAGTTCCAGGCCAGCCAGGGTGACATAGTGAGACCCCCGTCTGTACATACACAAGACAGAAGACACCCAAAGTTGGTTGCTGGCCTTCACAAACACATGTACCTGCACATACATACACAAAGTAATTTAGTTAACTAATTAAAATATAAAAGGCCCAGGAGAGATCCCATAACTCTTCGATTATGTGAACAGCGCCAGAAAGTAACTGCGTATGAAGAAGCCAGCTGTTGTGAGTGGGATATGAAATGTCATTCCCCTAGGCTCTTCTGTCCCCAGTTGTCAGTGCTTTGGGGGAGGTTCTGGAAACTTTAGAAGGTGGAGACTAGCTAGGAGAAGTCGGTAAACTTTCCCCTGAGAAGAAGAGAAAGGCATGGGGAATACACACAGGTGGTCCCAGTCCTTAAGAATGCGGCTCAAAACAAAACAAAACATAAAAAAAACCTAAAAACATAGTGTACTGACTGATAAGACTTGATGTTAACACGAATTCTTTTTTAGTATTCTCTCTTCTCAGTTGTGTGTCTGATAATCAGCATTGGAAAAAGGGGCAGTGGGCTCAAGAATATGAGTTAAATTCCACCTGCTGCACACCTTGACAAGAACTTTCCAGAAGTGGAAATAGTGATTGAAAATAGAGCTGGGGCTGGGGCTTGGTGGTAGATGGCTTCCTTAGCATGCCCAAGGCTCTGGATTTGATCTCCAGCACCACCAGCAACCAATCTAACAGACAAACAAGCTGTTTGTGTGGTAGGCAGGACTTTCCCTTCTTCCCAGGGACTTTTCTCAAGGCTTCCCTTTGGTACCAGGGCCCATTCACAGACATGCGGCTAGAGTTCATTCCAGCGCCAGATGCATGGTCTGCTCTCTACAGACTTCAGCTCGGTCCTTCAACACGGCCCTTAAACCAAGCCACGGCTTTCCTGGAGTCCTCCCTGGAAGAGGATGCGCCCTCCTGCTGCTTACCTGAGCTGCCTAGAATGCACATCATCTGTCCACTCTCGATGTACAAGGAAACGTCTTTGAGGATTTGCCTGTCCCACCGCTGCTGGAAGGATTTGACGTTCCACCAGGGCCCGACGCGGTTGCTTTAAAGTAAATTCCATAAGGGCAAGAGCAGTGTAAGGCCCTGGAAAGGCCAGGCCCCTGTTTCCCAGCCCAGAACCCAACTCCAGCCCATCCCAGTAGCAAAGTTGCTCCTGTACAATTTGACAACTTTATTTCAGCTCCTATGCCCCGCTATTCACTCCTTGAAAGTCTCGTGACTACCGGCTGGCCACCACCCAAGGAATGTGCCTCCCAGTAGCTCCCCTGAATACTGGGTCTCTCCGTCTGGCTGCGGGCTGGTAACCTGCACCATGTTTATTCTTGAGGTCAATCCTGCATTCCTTCAACAGACTTCCTTCCACCTTGTGCCCCCAGTACCCCTAATTTTCAAGCCCTTTCTATCTATGCAGGACAGGTGGTGGACAAGCCAAGGAAGGGGTGTGAATAACAGAAATTGGTGCAAAGCAAATGGCCAGAAAAGGAGCTACTCACTCACTGCCCACTGGCAGCCTTGCCTACTTCCACCCGGATCTGCCAAACAGGCAGCCCAAAGCCCCCAGGCCCATCCACCCACTTGGTGGGAAAAGGTGGCAGAGAGGGCGGGAAGCCCGGCTTTCTGCTATGGGGTACTCTTACCTGACGCTGAAGGAGACATGGAAGACACCTAAACTGTGCCGAGCCTCCGAGCCAGTAATAGATCCCTCCTCCAGGGAGCTCTGAGAACTTCTGTTGTGAGGCCCTCCAGCACTCTCCGGTCTCAGAAAGGGCATTTCACTCATGGCCAGTGGGAAGCAAATGGAAGTGAATTTTCTAGTGGCCTGTCCCTTTCCAGAGTAGCTTCAACTGAGGAGCCAGTGGGAGTGCCCTGTCTGACCTTACGTAACCCTGGAGTCCCTCGTGAGACAGCAGGACACCGATTTGGCCACCCATGCCATTATCTGATGTACCTTTAGCCAGAGCGTCCTTATCTTGGCAATAGGCAGAACATACAGTGTGTTTGTAGGAGGGCTTGCCAGAGAGGAGTGCTGGGAGAAAGGGCTGGCACAGAGGAGGGCACAGGTAGCCCAGCTCTAAGAAAGAAAGACAGAGAGAGCACCAGCCCGCCAGTAGCAGGGAAGACCCACAGGAGCCCCACAGAGGGGCACAGACATCAGGGATCATGGCTGAGAAGACCTCCGAGGAGACCCGGCTGTGGAATAAGCCCATACTTCAGGATGCTTCGGTGAGTAGGCTCAGCCACCTTGTGGGGTGGGGTCAGGGTAGAACTGGCCTTTCTTTCCTACCTCAGGAGTGCTAGTCCTAATTCACAACTTAGACCTCAAGTAAAGTGGAAATGGGGCAGCAGGGGCCTGTCTCCTCAACGCTGAGAAGCTGACGGGAAGCAGGTTCAGGAGCCAGGCGACCTCTGAGGTTACTTCTTCTGGATGACTGGGGTTGATGCAGTTTTCCAAACGACATTCCATCACAGAAATTCCCACATAAGCTAGGATTTTTCTGAGGGAGGGTTGGCCCATGTGACTGCCAGGCCAAGAATCTCAGTGGCAGTCGAGACGCAGAAGAGAGAGAAGATGGCAGGTGGCTTTTATGGGAGCACAGAACCCTATGCTTGCGCTCTTATGAACTGGGAGAGAGCTGGCGTGAACAGACAGCAGCCAGGTTGCTGGGAAGAGGAGGTTCAAGGCTTCCTTCCTCATCAAACCAGATCAGAGTTTGCTTGAGAAACAGCCTCTGAGTGGGGCTGTGGGTGGGCTTTGAAGCAGAAAGCACTATTGGAAAACAGCAAAGAAGATCCCACCCCTAGCTTCCACATCCCGCCCACTTTTCTAGAGAGGAGGACAAGAATGAAATGGCCACATCCGACCGGGAGTCCACAGTTCCCTGTTCTGGCCGAGGTAGAGCCGCTGGGATCGACCAATACAAGCACTGCTGTCTAGCCAGTTCTATTTCCACAGCAGCCGCCAACTCTACTGTCGGAATTCGCCACGAGGGAATAACTTCCTCTGCCGCTTGGAACGTCCATGCCGACTTCCTGATATGCAGTCGGTGGTAGCTTTGGAGTCTTACCCATCAGGTTATCACCACAGCTACCAAGGCAAAGAACTGTCAGAATCCTAGCTCCCAAAGTGTGCCCAGGTCCTGCCGCTTACAAGTCCCTCTTCTTGGGTCCTGTTATAGCAGGTGCTCTATGGTGGCCTGCCACTGACAACCGTGGGGCTTGGTCGTCAATGAGACTGACATGCCCTGTGCCTCTGTATTTACAAGTCGTTCTGTCAAGCTAAAAACTGTCCAATGGTTTCCACCCTTTCTCCTCTGCATGTAAACTTAGAAAATGGTGGGCTTCTTGAGGCGCTGGCTTCTGGTCCATGCCATATCCAAGCCTTTTTCTGCCCACCCAGCATCTCACGCTACAAGAAACGCATACAGGGGCCACGCACTCTTTCCACCCACACTCTAGTCAGGCCTGCTACAGACAGCTGCACCTCCAGCCTCTGAGCATGCCCCTTAAGTGGCACTGCCCATACTCAGAGTGGAGGCCTGGGAGGAGCGAGGAGATCAGGGCTGTGTATGCAGAGAATTCTGGTATTGCTATCAGGGTCCACAGGAACGGGGACAGGAAAGCCTGGGTCTCAGTAGAGACACGTGAGACCATATTTGGAGGGGTCAGTAGGGGGTCAGGCGTGTGCCTTGGGCTGGAGACTCACCCTGTTGGTCTAGGCCAGTCACAGCCCTCTGTGCATTTCCTCCTTTTTGTCTGCGCCTCTGACTCGGAAATTTAACCGGAAGTTAATATGAGGAGACATTACACTGTACCCCAAAGGAGCAGAGCTGGGTACCTACAAATAAACCCGCTTCGCCTTTTTAGGGTGTCACCTGTCACACATACAAATGACGTTCTGACAGTCACACTGATTAAAGTGTCAGCCGACTAGATATGTCAGTATTTGAAAGATACAGAGAATGTGTCAAAACCTCCGGAAGAGTCAAACAAATCCTTCCTGGGTGCCAAGGAAAATATTTTAAAATGGAACGGAAGACATCCATAAGCCAGACGTGATTTTTTTTTTCCGGAGGCTGAGTTGTCGGTGTGGCTCCTGGAAAGCCAATCTCTCCATGGTGGCTGGGGTCTGTGGGTTTGGGTGAATCAGAGGAACAAGTTGGGCACTGTTCAGCTGCATCCCTCTGTCCTCTCTGTCCCCCTAAACCGCAGGATGTCATGTCTCTCAAGTCACAATAGCACAGTAACTCGCCACCACCACACCAGACACAACTATCTAGTGCCCCTCTCTCAGCAGCCCCTCCACCCGTGAGCCCAACAGGAACTCTGTGTCTGCAGAAGCATCTAAAGAACTAATTCCTATCCAATGTAAATCAGCTAAGTTCTCTCCTAAAGGTAACTGATTTAAAGACAAGAAAACCCAGGGCTAAAGAGATGGCTCAGTGATTGAGAGCATTGGCTGCTCTTCCAGAGGACCTGGGTTCAATTCCCAGCACCCACATGGCAGCTCACAGCTGTCTGTAACTCCAGTTCCAGGGGGTCCAACACCCTCACACAGACACAAATGCAGGCAATACATCAATGCACATAAAATAAAAATAAGTTGTTAAAAATGGAAAAAAAAAAAGGCTGGAGAGATGGCTCAGCGGTTAAGAGCATTGCCTGCTCTTTCAAAGGTCCTGAGTTCAAGTCCCAGCAACCACATGGTGGCTCACAACCATCTGTAATGAGGTCTGCTGCCCTCTTCTGACCTTCAGGCATACACACAGACAGAATATTGTATACATAATAAATAAATAAGTAAAGAAAGAAAGAAAGAAGGAAAGAAAGATGAAAACAAAAACAGAAACGAGAAAAACCTAGGGAAAGGGGATATGGCTCTGTCCGTACAGTGCTTGGCCTAGCATACTTAATGCCATAGATTTGATTACACGACACAGAAAACCCAAATAGCAATCCCACTACAGCTCTTCTGCAGAGAGCAAGATCACATCACTAGTGCTGAGAGGGGCAGGCGATAGGGTGGGGCGGTCGGATGCTGGGCATCAGAATGAGATGGGAGACGAAGTTCTGGTATTCTGAAGCATGTGATTATACTTTACACCATTTTATATATTTTTATATAAAGATCAGAGAATGGGGCTGAGAGGTGGTTCAGACATTAAGAGCACTTGCAGCTCTTGCAGAGTACCCGAGTTCAGGTCCCATCTCACACAGGATGGTTTATAACCATCCACAACTCTAGGTCCAGAGGACCTCTTTTGACCTCTGAGGGTACCAGGCACGTATATGGTGCACATATATCTACACAGGCAAACACTCACACACACAAAATAAAATTTAATTTTTTTTAAAATTTCAAAAGAGATGCCAGAAGAATTTGATGGTTTCCAATGTGAAGACATAAATGGTGGAAGGGTCGGGGGTGCTAAGCACCCATTTGAACATTATACTTTGAACATTACACGTTGAACACATGTATCGAATGATCACACAGAAAATCCAAATACACCGCCACCTCCACAATAACAACAGCATTTATTACCATTGTGGTACTGAGGATGGTAATGGTAGGGACTTAACCTGAAATGTAACCGGAAGGACATTCAAGAGCTTGGTGTCACAAAATCCCTTGTCAACATAAGTTGGGTGACAAATTCTCAGGGTCCTCGCTGTTGTCTCTCTCTTTCCCATGCTGTGTCTATCTGGTGGTAGGTGACAACAGGCCAGATATGGGAAGTGAAAGTCAAACATGGGTTTACTGGCCCCAGCTCACAGGGCTTCCCGTCTGGAGTGGCATTCATCTTAAACTCCATGGGCTCAGGTGCACCAGCCCAAGGCTGAGGGTCTCTGAGGATAGAGCTGTCCTGAAGACACTCCTGAAAGGAGATGTACCCCAACAGTGTTCCTGGTTTCCTCAGCCCTGCACAACCCCACCTCCTGTCGGTGTGGGATCTGGGCCTCATTGCCTGCCGCTGCCTGTGCCCCTCAGGTCTCTCCCCTGCCCCCGTCTTCTATGTCCTCTGAAGGAGCCCCTTACCTGTCGTAACTCCCAGCAGGGCCTCCAGGACAGCTTGTTCTCCTCTGAAAGTGACAACAGCCTGTATTTCACCTACAGTGGCCAGTCCAACACTCTGGAGGTCCGAGATCTCACCTATCAGGTAAGGGCACACGCCCGAGTTGAGGGGAGAGGAGTGGGCACGGAACAGAATGTGCAAGGAAAAGTGAGCGCACCCTGTCTACCTTATGCAAACCCACCTGCAGCTGGAGGTGTGGCAAGGGGCGGAGGCTCTGGGAAGGTGTCAAGATTCACCATTAAGGCCTATGAGGAATGTCTCTGGAACTCCTAATCTTAAAATTCAAAATCACTCTATATATGTGTGTGTGTGTGTATGTGTATGTTTATCATATACATAATATATGTGTGTTTATATAACATATGTGATGTGGTTATATTATATAAGTGCTATTATATTATGTAAATATAGTATAGGATAGATATAGATAGATAGATAGATAGATAGATAGATAGATAGATAGATAGATAGATATCATAGGGCCTAGGGTGATGACCTACTCAGTAAAATGCCTGAGCTCAGATCTCCAGAACCCACGGAACCCACGGAAGAAATCCTGGCTTGAGTTGCCACCATGTCTGCAGTCCAGGTGGAGCCATAGAGCTCATTCAACTGTCCCAGGTTCAGCAAGAGACCAGGTCTCAAGAGTAAGGTAAAAAACAATTAAGGAAGACAGTGCCAGTCGTCTCTGGCATCCACACACACGTGTGCAAGGTGTACATACCTGCAGAAAACACACACAGTAAAACACAGTGTCTCCACATATTCCTTGCCTGGCTTCCCGCGAAGTCAACATCTTGCAAACCACATTTTAATGACCAAAACTAAGAAATTAACAACAGGTTCTTAACTAAACAACAGAGTTTATTGAAATTTCATCCTTTTACATTTATCTATCTATCTATCTATCTATCTATCTATCTATCTATCTATCTATCTATCTATCATCAATCTATCTATGGTCTCTTTTTTATAAAATATGTTGTCCTATTACAAATAAAACATCACAAATGAAAAAGCTACCATGGGAGGGTCTCAGGCATGCCCTTGCAGAATCCATTGACTCCCATCCCCCCATCTCCCCAGGGGTAGACTACCTGCTACCCAAGTAGGATGGTGAACTTCAGAGTCCCAAGCTGGCCTTTTAGTGGGTGTGAGTTAGAACTAAGGAAGGAACCACTTTGTAACCTTTCTCTGCTCTGCCACGCCCTGCAAACCGTGTGAGCTTGAGTAAATTCCTGAATTGCTTTGAACCTGGTCTGTGAAACAGACGGCAGTACCCACGCCATACACTTGCAATGGGCAGGAGACGGGATAAATGATGTAATCACTGTAACGCCTTGCAGGTGGTAAATGCTTGCTGTTTTCTGCTATTTCATACGCTTTCTGGTCCCCTTAACTCTAGACTTGAACAGGATGGTGGGGTTTCATGGCCATGCTGGGTAGGATCTGGGTACCTCAAGATTGCTTACATCTCCGAAGCATGGTATCTCCTGAGACACAGGAGGGCTGAAGAGAAGCTGTGGAAGCCCTCTGAACCCCTCAGCTTCCCCGGGCCCTTCTAACCTTTCCCCACAGGTGGACATCGCCTCTCAGGTGCCTTGGTTTGAGCAGCTGGCTCAGTTCAAGATACCTTGGCGGTCTCACAGCAACCAAGACTCCTGTGATCTGGGAATCCAGAATCTGAGCTTCAAAGTGAGGAGTGGGCAGATGCTGGCCATCATAGGAAGCTCAGGTACCAACAGAGGCAGTTGTGGGCACTGACGTTTTCCCCTTGGGACACAGAATAGCCTTCGGTCATGGGTCCCTCTGGGACAAAGTGTAAGCACAGGTGGAGGCAGACCTGGGCTCAAATGTCACCTCCTGCACCCACTAACTCGTGGACATCGCTGCTATTGTGAACCTGTGGGTGACTCTAATCTACCTGGAGCTGCAGCCATAGTGTCTGCCTCCTGTTAGCCCTGGACTAAGACAGGCAGCTTCAGAACACGATGTTCTTCCACAGCCAGACTCTGGTCATGGCCAGACAATGACTCGGCAGAGCCCCGACTCCACTGACCCCTCCACAGTCCCAGTGTAACCTCTGACTCCCTGCAAAGAGCCAGACCACTGGGGTGTCTCAAGCAAACACTTGCACAGGCCAAATCTGAGATTACAGAACCTCGCGGGTGTGCGGGCCTTGGAGAACAGTTCCTTTTCCTTATTATCTTCTGTCTTGTTCCCTTTCTGTCTGAAAGCATTTTAGGAAGAAGATTCTCAAGTCACCTAGTCCTCCATACTTCTAGAGTGTTCTCTGTGTACATATGCATGTGTATACACATACGTTCATTTGACAAGTGAGAACACTAAGACCGAGTGAGTCTCCTAAAGACACAGATTTAGCTAGACTGGAATCTTGAACTTGCACTTGGTTCTCCCTGGGACTCCTTTACACGGCATTAGAGAGAGTACTTTATACCTTTTAATTAATCATTTCCAGGAGGAAAGATTACTCAACACTTCGAACATCTGTTCCAAGCTTTTACGCTCTCCTGATAGAGCTGTTTATTGTCTAACCAAAGATCAAATGAGCTGTGATATGTAAACGTACTTTGTAACTAAAACAACACGCACACTCATTCAGCCCCTCTCACTCTGGCCCTGACCCTGTGATTCTGATCTAAACAAGAGAAAAGTATTTTGGCTTAACATGTCTTTTCTTGTTGTATCTGACTTTTGGGGGCATCCAGGAGACACACAAGCCATTACTCGGTCATGACAATGAATATTGGTGAATACTTGTCTACTTGGTGCACTAGCCAGCAGCATCCCTGGTCCATATAACACTCTAGCCAGCAGCATCCCTGGTTCATATAACAACACTCTAGCCAGCAGCATCCCTGGTCCATATAACACTCTAGCCAGCAGCATCCCTGGTCCATATAACACTCTAGCCAGCAGCATCCCTGGTCCATATAACAACACTCTAGCCAGCAGTATCCCTGACTTCTAATAAGGAAGGTGAAGTTCAGAGAGGCTGAGCAGGAATCATATTGAATAATGTCCAGGTTTAGGCTCAGCATTACTTGGCTTCTAGATCATGTGACTGAAATAGTTGTACCTTTCTTAGAAGGGTTTATTCATTATATATACTTCCTGTGACTTTAAGTACTTTAGTTAGTATCACACAGAGAGAATATGAATATACATACTATCCAAAATAATTTTTAATAGATTCTAAAAAAATAGCTCCAAGCATCTACCTTGTTCTGTAGAATCAGCCATACGTAAGGATTTCTCAATTAATGTAGTTACTGGCGAGGCTATGGCGGTCACAGTATCAGGCTCTTGAGTGCCGTGACTCTTCAGAGAACGTTAGCCCTACAGCACCAGGCACCCTCTGCTTCAAAGGCTGCCTCTGCCTTTTGCCACAGTTTTGCTTAGGAAATGTGATCTTCCTGCCCTCTGTTTGGGATCCCTGGTACCCGTGAATGCTGGCACAGCCCCCGCACACCCAGAGCCTGTAGTCACTGTCAAGCAGGACTGACGCCTCTCTTTCTGGCTCCTCTTGGGGATATTTTGCTCAACCTAACTTTTCAGGAAGCCTTCCAGGCACACCCAGTATGTAGCTGACAAGCTGCCCCAACTGCTGCCCCTTACACCGAGCAAGAGGATCACAAACAAAGGCCTCTGGGCTATTAGATTTTGTAGGCAGCGTGTGACATGTGCCAAGCAAGACTTGTCATATCCTGTCTGTAGGCATTTGCCTTGTTTACAAAAGAAAAAAAAGCTATTGATTTCATAAAAGACTCTGCAGCATCAAACCTTTCCTGGGAGGCCTGGGCAGAATGTCCCCAGCTCCAAGATAGAAGGGTATTCTCCAAACTTGAGGTGGGTTCACAGCACAGTTTAGATAGTTACAGGAGAGCCAGGCGGTGGTGGTGCACGCCTTTAGTGCCAGCACTCGGGAGACAGAGGCAGGTGGATCTCTGCATTTGAGCCAGCCTGGTCTACAGAGTGAGTTTCAGGACAGCTGGGGCTACACAGAGAAACCCTGTCACAAAATCACTAGGAAATTAGTTCTAAAGGAGTGAAAATCTCACCCAATGCTTTAGGAGACTTGCTCCAATATAATTCCTCTTTTCCAAATGAATACACATCAATACAGTGTTCAAAGTGAATGAAGGGCTAATTTTTCTTTCTTGTTTTTTTAAGGCAGAGAAAAAAAGACACTGATTTTAAAAGTGAGAACAGGATATAGGTACATTTGGAGCTTATCCATCAGAGTGCTTGAAAATGACGTGCTATCTAACACCTGTTATTTTTCCCTTATATTTCTCAAAGTAGAATTAGTTTTTGAGATTTTTTGTTGTTGTTTGGAATTTTTTTGTTTGTTTGTTGTTTGAGGCAGGGTTTCTCTGTGTAGCCCTGACTGTCCTGGAACTTGCTCTGTAGACCAGGCTAGTCAAAAATCCACAGTCCTCTGCCTCCCAAGTGCTGGAATTAGAGGCGTGTGGCACCACTGCCACTGTACACTGTAGTCTTGAATTCTTCAGAGACAGACTAAGAATGTTCCAAATTAGTCATTTCCACAAAGCCACTGAGGAGCCAAACGATGATGAAGGATGAGATGTTGCCAAGGTTTAGTTTCCAGCCTCAAAATGCTACACACTGCAGTGTAATTAGCCCCAGCCTGGCGCGTGAGAAAGCCATTGGTTAGCAGTGGAAGGCGAAAGTGTAGCAGGCATAGCAATAGGCTTGTAGCAGTTGGGACTCCAGCCCTCTTCTATCTGAAAGTGTTCGTCGTCGTCCCCCCCCCCCTCGTCCCCCACGCCCACTCAAGCTGGCTGCAGAAGAAAAGCCTGAGGTGCACCTGCAGGACTGTCACATGCAATCTAGTAAGAGTGTCCATTTCCCCTGAGCGGAGTTGCTTCTGTAGAGCCTTCCTGGTGCTCGGAGAGCGTGGGGGGGGGGGGGCATAGTAGCTGGCAAGCTGGCCCTGCAGAACCTCTGCCCTCAGGGATGTCTCTGGCTTTGCAGGCTGTGGGAGAGCCTCACTACTAGATGTGATCACGGGCAGAGACCACGGTGGCAAGATAAAATCGGGACAGATCTGGATCAATGGGCAACCCAGCACTCCCCAGCTGGTGCGGAAATGTGTGGCGCACGTGCGCCAGCAAGACCAGCTGCTCCCTAACCTGACTGTCAGAGAAACGCTGGCTTTCATTGCCCAGATGCGCCTGCCCAGGAGCTTCTCTCAGGCCCAGCGTGACAAAAGGGTAACCAATTGGTGATCCTTGGTGGCTGAGACTTCCCTGCTTTGCCAGAAGACCCAGCCCAGTTGGAATTTAACCAACCCATCTTACACGCCAGTGTACTTAGCCCCATGAGTTCCCTTTCCGGACCTTGTCAAATGGGTGATAAGTGTGCGTTTATTTGTGTGAGGGTTTTCGGGTGCTTCGTGTGAGTTGCGGGGGGGGGGGCTAATTATGCGGCCTCTGGTTCCCAATCCACAGCCTGTGCTCTCCAGGCTGAAACTGCTCAGAACCTAGGGACATAACAATGGGGACAAATATGCTGCTGGGAAAACAAAGTGTAGCCCTGGAAGCCTGTATGCTAAGCCTGTCTCCCTCAGGTAGAGGACGTGATTGCGGAGCTGCGGCTGAGGCAGTGCGCCAACACCCGTGTGGGTAACACATATGTGCGTGGGGTGTCTGGGGGTGAACGCCGGAGAGTGAGCATCGGGGTGCAGCTTCTGTGGAACCCAGGTGAGGCTGGAAGCCAGAGGGGAGGGGCCCTGAGACGGCATCTTGCCTGTCATCGGGGCTCACGGTGCAATGTCCGCAGGAATCCTCATTCTGGATGAACCCACTTCCGGCCTTGACAGCTTCACTGCCCACAACCTGGTGAGAACCCTGTCCCGCCTGGCCAAAGGCAACAGGCTGGTGCTCATCTCCCTCCACCAGCCTCGCTCTGACATCTTCAGGCTGTTTGACCTGGTCCTTCTGATGACATCCGGCACGCCTATCTACCTGGGGGCCGCGCAACATATGGTGCAGTACTTCACAGAAATTGGCTACCCTTGTCCTCGCTACAGCAATCCTGCCGACTTCTACGGTGAGTGAGCGAGGCCAGTGGTATGTAGCCTGGTGCACAACCATTTGCCGGCGCCCCTCACCCGAGCAAAACAAAAGAAAACGAAACCATCGAACAAAATAAAACAAAATGCTTACTGGGAAGATGCGCGGGAGACACTGTCCACACCCCTCCGGTGAGGAGGACCCAGGAGTGAGTGTTAGCACTCCAAGGAGAAACGGGTCAGTTTGCCAGGATCAAGAGCAAGGCATGAATACGGCAATCTTCTGACTAATTGCCCCTCTGTGCAGGACAGCTTAGGAAGCGGTAGAGATTTGCAGGTGGGTGGGGTGGAGGTATAATTCAGGAAGTCTTGGATCAGTTTGTACGGTCGTGGTCTTTATGCAGTCTGCAGGAAACAGTATATATATATATATATATATACATATATATATACATACATATATATATACATATATATATGCCTGTGTGTGCCACAGAGGCAGGCAGAGTAGAAAGAAGGACCCAGGGCAGTGGGTCTCTGAATACAGACTGCTTACTTGGTCACTGCCTTACCTTTCTTTGGGGTCCCAGGCACTGAATAGTCCATTAAGAGCGCTACAAACCACTTCATTCATGGGAGCAATGGTATTTTCAGGACACCCGCCAGTAACCCCCTCCCCCCCCAAGACAGCTGAGGAATAAACAGCCTGGGTGGACAAGTGACCACTGTACCAGAGCCTGGGCAGGCAGCAGCTATAACCAGTACCCTAGCTTATTTCTAGGATGTGACCAAGAACCCCAGCTTATTTCTAGGATGGCAATGTATGCGCCTTCATGGCGTCTCCGAGGTCAGCTCCGTCTTTGCATACGACCCGACCCGTGGAACCTCGCCCCTGGCCTACTGTGTTCTAGCAGGGCTGCCGGGGCAGACCAGAGCTCCCCAAGGTGCACCCAGCCCCAAACCTTGACTCCTAGCCATGCCACCCACACGGCCATCCCAGCATCCTCAGCCACCCAGGAGGAAAGGCCATTCCCCTAGCTCTCTGCCCTGTCCTATGAACTCATGCCCTCAATGAACTCGCAGAGAGGTCAACTCTCCTACCCATGCTCCAGTTGCCATCCTGACTTCCTACCCATGTGTCACGCTCTGACCGGTGTCCTCAGATAAGGGGGCAGAGGACAGCTGCCAACCTGGTACCAGGGAAGTCTGAAGTGAACCTGGAAGGGCTGCCCCAAGCCTAGTGCCCATGGAAGACTTGAAAACGTCTCTTTCTGTTATTATTTGGAGTGAGCAGGGCTAGGTCCTTGTCTACTAGGCCCGGGGAAGGATCTAGGATGCAGGAGCTGTTCACATGGAGCCCAAGCTGCCCAGCAAATGTGACATTTGAGCTCTAGCCTACCCCTACCGAGGGGACCTGCATGGTTCATAGTGACCCTCCCACAAATGTTCTTTTCTTGTGAAGTGTAATGAAAGCAGGCTTGTCCTGGCTGTGACTGGTGGACCTGGCTCTTTCTGGTACTGCGGAGACATTGGAGGGAGGGCAGAACCTCATGAGAAGAGGGCTGAAGGATGGGTCTGCCACCCGCAGGGTGGCATCTTCTCAGGTTCAAAAGGTTGCTCCCAGTGAACTGGCTCCCCAACTGGGTGAGCTACCCTAGACTCCCTTGGGGAAGAGCTTAACACGGGCAGTGTGACCACTGAACTTGACTAGTCCCCAGCACCCTGGTCACTGGGAGGTCAAATTATGACTTTACGATAACAGGTAAATATATATACGGCTGGATTTAGGCCCGTTATATACCTATGATGAGGCACTTGGCCCCAAGGGCACCAGCCCACTCCAGAAATGTCCCTGGGATAAATAAGCCTTGGTGTGGGACTGGGGCCTGGGGCCAGGGCCTCTGCTTTTGGCCACTTCCTGATCTGTGGCATCTGCTTATGTGGTCAGATCTGGCAGAGCAAGGGAAGCAGGTTTCTCTGCCTCTCTGCTCTGACCATTGCATCAAAGTTCCTTCTCAGAGGGTGGGAGAGCTGAGCCGCCAGGGACGGGGCTGCCTATGGCCCTGTGTCTTCTGCTTACAGTGGACTTGACCAGCATTGACAGGCGCAGCAAAGAACAGGAAGCGGCCACCGTGGAAAAGGCTCGGTCACTTGCAGCCTTGTTCCTAGAAAAAGTGCGAGGCTTCGATGACTTTCTGTGGAAAACAGAGACGAAGGAACTCAACACGGGTACCTACACAGTCAGGTACAGTGGGTCAACTGCCTGAGTGGGAAGCCCTCTGTGGTGTGCCCCAACCTATTTCCCAACTCACTGTTTCCCAACAGCCAGACCCTCCCACAGGACGCGGACTGCAGAGCTACTGCTAAGCTGCCTGGAGCGATACAACAGTTTACCACCCTGATCTGGTAAGTGTCTCCTTCTCTCTCCCTGCTCGCCCATGCCTCTGAGGAGCAAGTGAGGGAGCAAGCAATGTAATTGTGTGAAAGCCAGCATCCCTGGGACCAGCTTAGATCTCCTGTGACATGGAGCACTCCTGATAATCTTACCGTCTAAACAAAATCTCATTAGTGGCAATCATTACAGAAACAGCCATGTAAGAAACTCAGACCTGGGAAGGGCAGAGTCCCTACTGTCCCCTGCTCAATGAAAGCTAGGTGCACCCACCACAGCTGTCTTTCTGCGGGTCTGCACACACACAGACATGGAGCAGGTTCATGTATTGTTTAGGAGCCAGTTGGTCAAACCAAGAATCATGTTTTCTCTCGTCTCTGAATAGAGTACTGTGGCTTAGCCTCTCGTCCAGTCCAGTCTGTTTGGATGGTCTCTTTGCTGGGGGGCTTTCGGCATCACGAGACACACTGCGGCCAACATCTGTATGACATACTTGATTTTTTTCCCTGTAGTAAACGTTTTGTTGTTGATAAAGGTCATCATTCACCAAGTATGGTGGTGCTTGTCTGAAATGCCAGTTCTGGGGAGCACATGAGACAAGAGCATCTCACGTTTAAGGCCACCCTGGGCTATACAGCCGCAGTCCCTGACTCAAACCCAAAACAAGAAGGATGCCTCCCAAAGGATAATCCTATATTCAGTGCCCACTTCTGTCGGTTTTCTCCCTTGGTTGTCAAGGACACTCTACGGTGGGCATTATAGTCCACATTCCACACATGAGGAAATCAGGGTTCTGGCAATGAGAGGACCTTCCTAAGGTCGTACAGCTCTGTATGCTGTTCCTTTGACACTTCTTTTTCCTTTCCTTCTTTAAAAGTCGTCAGATTTCCAATGACTTCCGAGACCTGCCCACCCTGCTCATCCACGGGGCGGAAGCCTGCCTGATGTCCCTCATCATCGGGTTCCTTTACTATGGCCATGATGTCAAGCCGCTCTTCTTCATGGACACGGCAGCCTTGCTGTTCATGATAGGAGCGCTCATCCCTTTCAATGTCATTCTGGATGTTGTCTCCAAATGTGAGTGTCACCTACTCTCCTCACCGGACTGTGGCACAGCTGGACAGAGGGCATCAGCCTCCCCCTGCGCTGGTCTGAGGCTGGTCCCTGTGCTTCTCCCAGTGCCCTGGGACAATGTCTTTATGGAACTATTTCATCATGCTTGTGTGATAAACGTTTTGAAAGTTTTCATGTTTATATTAGCATGCAAACCATGGTGTCTTAGCTGTTCCTGTCCTCACAGGATTTACGCGTGGCAGTGACTTGCTGCAGGTGCAGACCACCTGGAGTGGGATGTCTTCACCATGCCTGTTATTTACAAAGCATATGAACAAATTCAGAGAGCATAACTAGTCTTCCCCCCAGTGCTGAGGATTAAGCCTATAGCTCTGTGCATGCTGGGCAAGTGTTCTGCCACTGAAGAACACACCTGCTTCATGTCACTGATTTCAATGATACATTACCAGAGACAGATGGCATTCCGAGGGACGCAACATCAGTAATACTATAGGGGATTTCCACTCATTCATTCCCTTCTCCTCCCCATCTTTAGGTCATTCGGAGAGATCAATGCTGTACTATGAACTGGAAGATGGACTGTACACTGCTGGTCCATATTTCTTCGCCAAGGTCAGGGCGGATAGCAAGTGCTTCCAGGCATTGCAAAAAAGGGTTTTGTGGAAACACCCAGCCAAGTATTCTCTGTGGCAGCCGATACCAAATTCTCTAGAAGAGCTTCAGAGAACTTCAGAGACCATGCAGTTACATGGTCCACAGAAAGGCCGGGGCTGAGAAGCAGAAATGAAACGTTTCTGGGTATCCAGAACCAAGAGAGAAAGAAGTGGGCAACACCAAGCAATACTTTACATCTCCAGAGCCCTGAGCAAGCCAGGCGGGTGTTCCCAGGAAGAGGCTCGGAGAGGTCACATGACTCTCATAAAGCTACACAGCTACCGGGTCTGGGCAGGAAAGGTGGAGAATTGAGCCAGGTCTTAGCAGAGTTTATATGCCAGCTGCCTCCATGGAGCACAACCCTGGAATGCTCCTGCAGCAGAAACCCAGGGAGAGGTCAGGTTCATGGGTCTTAACCTGCCACCCCCTTCTTCCCTGAGAAGGAGCCCTGGCATCCTAGGAGCTGCCGCTACTTAAACATCTTAGGATAACGGCAAATGGGGGTGTTGGCTCCGTATTCCAGCAAGGGCTGTGCTTTGCAGGTCCTTGGCGAACTGCCTGAGCACTGTGCCTATGTCATCATCTATGGGATGCCCATCTACTGGCTGACCAACCTGCGGCCACTCCCTGAGCTCTTCTTCCTACACTTCATGCTTCTGTGGCTGGTGGTCTTCTGCTGCAGGACCATGGCCCTGGCTGCCTCCGCCTTGCTGCCCACCTTCCACATGTCCTCCTTCTTCTGCAACGCCCTCTACAACTCCTTCTATCTAACTGCAGGCTTCATGATAAACTTGGACAACCTGTGGATAGGTGAGACCTGTGCCCCTTTGTGGACTTCATGACAAACATGGACAACCTGTGCTCTCCTTTGCCTGGCCAAGCCCCTGTGGCTGGGTAAATCCTCATCGAGAGATGGAAGTCCATCAGTTAGGTGTCTCTCTATGCCTTTGCCAGCTGCACTGCAGGCTGTGGGATAGACGACACTTCCCACAACCCTCACACATACCCAGAAGTCACCCTGACTCCCTCCCTCACACACCCACCAGTGATCCAGGCCTGAAGTATTCCCTTGGTTTTAACACGGCTCTGACCCTCATCATTGAACCCTGGGCCAACGAAAGAGTCTGGTCTCTCAGTGGCCTTTGCAGTGTTCAGAAAGACAGAGTGAGATTTCCGAGGGACCAGTCCGGTCCCTCTTTTATCCAAGGCCTCTCAGAGCCGCTGGCTCTCTGATGTCCCTGTGCGCCCCCCTTCCCAGCTCTTGTGAAGCCTCTCACTGTGAAATCTATGGGGCCTCTTTTCCATATTCACCATTGCCCCCACTGGCTCCTCAGCTAACCTTCCCTGACATCTGGGTGAGGGCTTGCAGCTTCCTCCTCTCCCAGCAGAGTGCTCCCCAGGCTCAGGATCCTCCTCTCCCAGCAGAGTGCTCCCCAGGCTCAGGATCCTCCTCTTTCAGCAGAGTGCTTCCCAGGCTCAGGATCTTTCTCTCCCAGCAGAGTGCTCCCCAGGCTCAGCATCCTCCTCTCCTAGCAGAGTGCTCCCCAGGCTCAGGATCCTCCTCTCCCAGCAGAATGGTCCCCAGGCTCAAGGTCCTCCTCTCCCAGCAGAGTGCTCCCCAGACTCAGGACCCTTCTCTCCCAGCAGAGTGCTCCCCGGGCTCAGGGTCTCTGGTGTGGGGCTGGTTGAGTATACGCAGCATAATGAAATGGCGATCTAGAACTGGTCGGGACCAAGCATGTGAGTCACCCCTCCTTGGCCTCGTCAGCACAGTGTCCCCAGCCACAGACATTACTCCTTGCTCCCCCCCCCCCCCCCCCCCCCCCCCCCCCCCCCCCCCCCCCCCCCCCCCCCCTCCCCCCCCCCCCCCCCCCCCCCCCCGTCTCTTTTGTCCCTTGGTCCTCAGAGGACTCTTCTCCTGGCTCCAGCCAGCATGACTCCTCTCTCTAGGAGTGGTTGGAGACTTAGCAGGGCAGTCAGAAATGTCAGCAGAGACAGTGTAAATAACCAAGCTCTTGCTGTCTGTCTTCAGTACCAGCATGGATTTCCAAACTGTCCTTCCTCCGCTGGTGTTTCTCGGGGCTAATGCAAATTCAATTCAATGGATACCCTTACACAGTGCAGGTCGGCAACCACACCTTCACAGTTCCCGGAGAAAAGGTAAGTAACGAAGGCTGGGAAATCCCAATTCAAGGGCTCCTGAGAGGAGCTCACCACGTGTTTGTGTCCGCAGATGACTGATATCATGGACCTGAACTCGCACCCGCTCTATGCTATCTACCTCATCGTCGCTGGCATCAGCTGTGGCTTCCTGTTCCTGTACTATCTGTCCTTAAAGTTCATCAAACAGAAGTCACTTCAAGACTGGTGATGCTCCCGTCGGCGGGACCCTTCTCCCAGGGCTGACCGCCTCCCGCGGAGCCCCACTGACACCAGTGAGGACAAAGATTACTCAGATCCCAGCAGCATGCGCCCCTTGGTGCTGCAGTGGCATAGGTCAGCCACAGGATGGCAGTAGAATAAAGACAGTTGAAAGGGATTTTTGATCACTGGCCTGGGCTTGTGATGGGAGGAAAAAATGGGGACTTGGTGGCACCTGCAATGTTGCTCATTTATGTTCGTTGGTTATATCTTTATGTAAACAACCCAGTATGGAATGGGAGCCACTTAGATATAAATTGAGTAGCCAGACTATGCAGAAATTTCTGGAATTTCTATTAAACCAGAAAGAATAGTGATTTAATAGTAAAATGTTCAGTTTTATCTCCCACCGTCCTCATACCCTATGTTAAGCCATTCCCACTACAGAAGGTGACCTAAAACAGACCAGCAAAATGCCTTCTCTTGTCTTTGTGTGGATCCATAGACTCTAAACCCCAAAGTTGAACAATTAAGAGCTTATCGAATGTCTTCTCCGTGGTTGCTTTGTGGTGGAATAAAAACATCCTGAGGTCTTTGAGGGCCAGAGAGCAGATACTGGTTTTAGATTCCAAGAAGCTTCTAGAAACAGAAGTTAAAGAGGTTATGCCAGGCCTCAGAGTTGCACCCCCGTCCCACTGTCTGGGTCTCAGGATTAACCTTAACTAACCTTTCCTAATGGCCAGCGGATAGATTGCTTGAACACCCTGGCTATATGCTATACGCCTGTATCGAGGCGCTTCTGACTCTAGGCACAGGGATGGGAGGGGGTGTTCCCACAGGATAACTAGAGTCAGTAACTCAAAGAAACAGTGACGAAGGTGTTTGGGGCCAAGAGAGATGTTCTCCCCCAGTCCCCCAAGAGCCCATGTCTAGTGTGGTCCCTGGCCAGCATTAGAACATCACTGGTTACAGATGAGATAGGCAGAATCCCAGGGCCACCCAGACCCATGGACTCAGCATCCGTGTGTTCAGGCTACCCTGTGACTTAAGTGCAGACCTCAGTGTGAGCAGCGACTGTCCTTCCCAGCACCCAGTAGACTCTGGGAGTCCACACAGTCCCGTTGCCACCGTTCGGTACACAGATGCCACTCAAGATCCAAAAAGAAGGAGCTGGAGAGATGGCTCAGTGGTTAAGAGCATTGCCTGCTCTTCCAAAGGTCCTGAGTTCAATTCCCAGCAACCACATGGTGGCTCACAACCATCTGTAAAGAGGTCTGGTGCCCTCTTCTGGCCTTCAGGCATACACACAAAACAGAATATTGTATACATAATAAATAAATAAATATTTAAAAAAAAAAAAAGATCCAAAAAGAGTTCCAGTGTTCTTCCTCCTCATCCAGACCAGAGTCAAGGGCACCGTTTGATTGTCGTGTCTCTTTGGTTTCTCTCAGTTTGGAAAGCTCCTCAATGCCCCTGACTCTAGGCTTGGGTTTATGTGGTGTATTTAAGGATTAAGTCTAGGCCGGGCACCTTTGGTCAGGATACCCAGAAATGGCATTGCTTTAATGCATCACAGTAAGCGGCGTGTGCTTTCCACTTGTTGCACACGGAGGCGCACTTTGGTGGCCTGATGGAAGGCCTGTCTGTCGGACTCCCACTTGTTCCGTGTTCCCTCCTTTGATAACGAATAAACCTTTTGAGTGCCAGTGCCTAGAAACTGTTTATTGCTCATTCTTCATCAAGCTTTCCATTTACTTACCGAGGTATTGGCATAAATTATATACTTGTGGAATCCCATTTTAATTCAGCAAGCTATAATCCATTGCTATCATTAATTTTGATGCTCAGGTTGTCCCTGACTTGACCAGTGGAACGCTCAATGTGGCTTCTGCATCTTCTTAATCAGGCCTCTGTCATTCATTGAGGGCCCTGACAAAACAAAGTATTTGTGGTATTATCTTGCATTTCCCCAGCCCAGTCCTGGAATTGGATGTTTCTCTGTAGACACTTAACTCTTTTTAGTGGGAAATGATAGAAGCCTGGACCTGAGGGATTAATCTGTTCTGCTGCTGCCCGTTACTGCATCAGGGCTCTCCACTGGCAGAATGAATGAATGAACACGCGTGTGTCCGTTCCTGCATCAGGGCTCTCCACTGGCAGAATGAATGAACACATGTATGGGGGGGGGCATGTGTGCATATGTGCAGTCACAGTCATGACTGCATGTAAGTTCATCTTGACTGGATGTCAAGAATTTGCCATCCAGTGCTAGCTCTTATCCTTCTGTCTTCCTGTCTCTGGGAGACACCCGGCTTTGGTGTCTGTGTCCCTCATCTGCTGAATCCCGCTTGTACCGTCCATCCTGTCATGGTTCTCCTGTGTGGACAGTCTGCTCACTCCACATGCACAGAATTCCCTCCCTAGATCCCAGCTCTGTTCTGGTTAGGTGACCTGCTGTCTTTAGGCCTGGATAGAGAGAGTGGGAAGGGGAAGGTTGGAAGCCACTGAGAGATGTCATCTGACTTTGTGAGTTTGCCACTCAGCGTGTTGTGGTACCCAGAACTTGGAGCACAAGAGATGCCGAAACTCAAGACAGCTACTGGTTCTTTGGAGCCTGTCCTCAGAGCAGACCTCCATCCTGTCTCCCCACACACAGGCCAGTGCCTATGCACCTCAACACTCTAACTTCATGGGTTTGTGTTGTTGAAAGTGTTTTCCAGGGCACACAGGCCTGGGAAGAGAAGGGCCAGGGCCCTAGGGACACCCTATATCCTTCAGTGATCCCTTATCCTGTAAAGCAAAGGAGCAGAATTTTCTTGTGGGCTGCGAAGTTTTGCTGCTAAGGATCCATATTTTAGGCTTTGATAGCTATATAGCCTGTCACAATCTGTCACTATTGTTCCGGTGTGAAGGCTGCTTCAACTATAGCAGTGTGTGGAGGGTGTGGATGTGTTCCAATAAAACAGCTTACACAAACACACAGCTGCTGGCTTTGGCCCGAGGCTGCAGCTTGTAGACTCCTGATCCGAAGATGAAGGTTTTGAAATTTACATTTTAAGCTCTCCAAATTCAAGTTACGCTATTGATGGGGGATACAACAATTAAACCGAAAATAATCACCTGTGTTGACTCCAATAGTCCTTGTTGTGATTTTTTTTTAAACCACTCTTGTTCTTAAAAAGATTACTTAAGACATAATCTTTCCCCGGGTTGAGCCAGTCCACAGAGGTAGATCTCCTGCTTGCTCTTGTTTGTCACTCATTCTTAAAAAGCTCTTGATCTCAGATTAAACCACTCACATACAACAGAGATATTGAAAATTATGTCAAACTCAAGTGGTAGCAGTCCTGTGACCAAGGGTTCTTCCAAAATTAAATTAGTCACTTAGCAGCAACGTTTAGCCCAGCACAGGGGACCAGCTTTAGTGCAGACTCACCATGAGGCACAGGATGGGAGCCGGCTGCAAAGGAAGCAAATTCTTGGGACATCACAGCCAGTGCCCGTGCCTGAAATGTTCTTAGTTGTAATAGTCTGCGCCAGTCTCGACTCAGACGTCACTTGCGTCTGATAAATTGGTTCTTCATCTAGAATGGTCGAGCTGAATAGCTGGGGTGAATAATTTGGTGGCAGAGAAAGTAATTAACAAGGTAGACTCGAGTCCCAACCCTGAAACGCATTTTCAGGGTCCTGATCCAGAGCAACACAGCGTCCCGGTTAGAGGGCAGAGTGCGGAGAGCAGCGCTAGAATGGGCGGAGCTTTCCAGGCACGAGCAGCTGCCCACTGGCTAGGTGACGTGCTTGTTTATTGTTTGTAGAGTTGGGGTGTTGTTTCTCCAAGCTGAGGATAGCTCTGTTGTTCCTTGCTAAAAAGGCAAGCTTTTGTCTTAACTGCAGGGCAGCACAGGTTTCCTCCTGTGCGAGCTCCTCCCACAGTGACAGGTGGGTCAACTTACTGGAGATCTCACATCATGCCTTGCTGGCCTCACTGACGGTGCTTTCCGTAGGAACTTGCCTTCTGGAGGACTCCAGCTCTCCCAGCTGAGCCACATGTGGGAACCGAAGACTAGTCACGAGAGGGAACTGTCCAACACGCGCAAACCGGGACCCTCATAAACGGGAATCATGGCCTTGAATCCACGTGACTCAGCCCAAGAGCCCTACTGTGAACCCACTAGTAGGTCTGCAGAGCACTGGAACACGGGGCCTTGGAAATACAGGTGAATGGTTCCAAGGTGCTGCCCGGGGTGGGATCAGTGAAGATGTTAAGGACCAAAGCACTTTGCCGGAGCAGGAAGTCTGGATTCTAGTCTGTCTTACCTGGTTCCGATGATTCTATTCTTTATGCAAAAAAAAAAGTGACAGCTGAATTTGCTAATGCAGGCATTTTCTTCATTTGTACTAAGGCCGCATAATGTGGGCTTTGTAAGTCTGCTGGCCTGAAAGCAGGATACATTTCTAATGGAAACACTCCCACGCATGATTGTACAACAGCAAAGCGATAAATTACCGTGATTTTGGACCTCCTGTGGCTCCCAGTTCCACCACGCTGGAGGAAATGTTGCTTTTGCTTAGAAACTCTACAAACATTTTTTTTTCCAGAAAGGCAAATATTAAATGAAAATTGCCCTGAAAGCCACGAGGAAAAGCATGTAGAACGTACACAGTGCGGACTGGGGACGGGAATTATGCCAGGAAGAGTGATTTGCGACATAAAGCTTGCTTATAATCCACCAGACTCATAAACTTGATTATACTGGGCACTGGATTAAATGGAGGATTGTTTTTTTCTCATTACAGTAAGGTGTTCAAAAGTGCAAACATTGCATTATTGTGAACACTGTATTATGTTTTGTTGTTTAAAGAGTTCACTATTTTAGTCTGCTGTATTTTTGTATTATCATAGGTATTTTTTTCATTTTTTTTTAGAGCCTGGGTCTGTGTACCCATGGTTGTCCTTGACAATACCTACCTGCCCCTGCCTCCCAAATGCTGGGATTAAAGGCATGCATAACCGTGCCCAGTGGGAACAATGTTAAAAAAATGGTTTTGCCTGCATTTAAACACACCATGAGCATGCAGTGTCCAAGGAGGTCAGAAGTGGGCTCTAAAGGAAGTTTCACACATGGATGAGTGTGAGCAATCATACGGATGCTGGGAACTGAACCCAGGTTCATTGCAAGAGCAAGTTCTCTTAAGCACCAAACTATCTCTCTAGCTCCAAGGAAAAGCCTTTTAACGGTCTTGGCCATCTGACTTAGTGCCGTGAGCCTACGTAAATGGACTTGTTTTTTTTACCCTGATAATCAGGCAAGACAGGTGCCTGACGTGGCAGTCGGTGTTTAGTGCTAACCACATAGAAGTCATGGAACTCACTACAGATAATCTAATCCAACGTTAACTTGCAGGTCTGAGTATAGACTATGGAACCAAAAGCAGAGTTCACAATCTGTCCAGGTCTAACGGGAGATGCACGCAGCCACAGGAGCCTTGGGCAGGTAGTGATAGGGCAGTAAGCACCCTCGTGGCACGAGTTCTGGAACCATCTCTCCAGAGCTGACAGGTATCTGCCCCTTCACTGAGTGTCAACATGTATCAGAACTACTATTTCTCAATTCTTTTCATTTGTTTGAGACCGTTTCTCTATGTAATCCTAGGTGTCCTGGAACTATGTAGACCAGGCTAGCCTGGAACTCACAGAGATGTTCCTGATTCTGCCTCTAGTGCTGGGATTAAATGTGGGCACCATCACAACTAGCTCATTTTCTCCATTCTTGGCAGCTTTGTTCCTCAGAAATCTCAGACACCGTTTCTCCTCAGCACAGTGGGAGACTCACTGGTTCTCCATAAGCCAGAAGAGAAGGAAGCTCCCTGTGACAGAGGTCAGACAATTTCTAAAAATCTAAGACTATAGGCCTCATATGTTTGATAGGGTAAAAAATGGCAGTTCATTAAGTACTAAAATACACTTTATTCAGAGAAATTCCATTTAAATTATATTGGTTTTTGGTACATGAACATACATTATATATAAAATACCACACTTTCCAAAAGTTTACAATCATGCTCCTTTTTAGAATCCACAACTTAGTTTACTCTGTAGCTCTATTTATTTCAAAGTAGATATGATATATTGAGGAAGCATTTATAAGTCACCTAGATACAATTATTACTCTATAAATATTAATATTCAAAATGGGAACAAAACTAATGGTAAAGATATTTGAGCAGGCAATCTTTTTAAACATATATTCAGAATGCTAGATGGGGGCGCCTTTAACACCCATTTATTATTCCAGCGAATGTGACTGCACCTCAGGTTTCCAAGGATGGCCATAAAGTTCCAATCGCTCCCCAAAGCTGTATGTATTTCACCCAGGTGTGTCAGTGAACAAGGAAACGTCAGATCAATTCCTTTGGGCTGGCCTAACTGCAGAACTAGGTCAGCTTTGGGGTCACTGGCCACGGGTGGGTAAGAGAGGCCAGACAACGGCTCAACTACCATGCAGGTCCTGTGCTGTATAGCAGGAACGGGAGCAACCTCTGCGGTGTCTTCTAGGCTGGGAATCCAGGCTGGCTTAGTGTCTGGTCCTGCATCTCACTCCACAAAGCCAAGTGGAAATGAGCACAGCTTGTCCCAGGCACAAGCACACGTGAGCACACACACCCCAGTTTCTCTCCATCCACCTTCCTTCCTGTGCCCCCACA